TCATACTTTGCAAAAGTAGGGACGTTGAATTTGTGGGGAATGACAACTCCTGAGACTAAACCCAACTCTTGAAAATCTAACCCAGGCACTCTCTGGATCTCCATAGCATATAGACGATCCTCCAGTTGTTTGTACTTTTCATCCGTAGGAGGATATTGTTCATCCGAATAGTCTTCTTCTTCTTCATCAGAATATTGGCCAGAACCAAGGTGGCTTCCTTTCTCAGCCTTCACACTCTTACTATTTTCACCCTGGTTGTTATCTTCGTTTGATGGAATATCACAGTCTTGAGCTTGCTTGGGAGGACCTCTGAAACTTCTTCCCATGTTGAGAATGTTGATTGGTTTCCTTGTATTTTTCTTCCACTCTTTGGTGATGAGGGTCTTCATCTCTTTCTGCCCCTTGGCTAAGTTCAGGAACATTTGTTGGAACTGGGCATTCTGATCTTGAAGATCTTTGATTGTTTGTTCGAGAGCCATCTTTTACTGTAATAAATAGCAAGAAGATGAGAAAAACTGTCTAGAAAGTACCTGTTATGTAATGAGATGCATGATATGTAGATGAAAATGCAATATTTTCAAGGATCTTGCGGGGGTAAAAGAGAGAATGAATCCTGGTTGCAACTTTGACTTGTGGAACTTCAAGTCTTCATTTTTGGACGTCCTTCTATTAGAATCAAGCTCACCATATCGAGTGGGTTCTAGCCTCTGACTCAAAAGAACGTGCTTTGGTCTTTGACGGTGTATATCTAGATGAAGATAAATCCTCTTGCCCCCTTGTTAATAGTCCGACTATAAGATAATCCTGCAACAAAGATCCATAAGATCCTTGAAATGGTTAGTATATGTCATGTTTGGTATTATGATATCATGATGTTATGTTTTATGTTTAAACAGATAGCAAACACAAACAAATCACACAAGAGCCTTAGGTTCAAAGGCTTGCATGGGGTCCATAGGTGATTATCCTTCTCTATTGAAGTCGAGTTGGCTCAACCTATCCTAAAATAGTAACCGAATTCTAGGAATCTCATATTACTGATCTTTCTCGAAGGTTTTATTTTAGTACAACAACTGACTTGCCATCAAAATATCCCGCGAGTCGAATCTCAATGAGTGTAGCATCGAGTATCAACCAACTCTGAATTGCACCAAAGTCGGCTATCTCACTACCTTCTAATGGCCAAGATGGGTCAATTAAGAATCTAAAAGTCAGTTAGTGCTTATAACACCACGAGGTAGCCCAATGTTATCCTCGACTAACTCAAGGAACATCGGTACAAACTAAAGTGTCACACTAACGTAGCCATCACTTCAACCATGTCGGTCTATGCGGTATAGTTTTCATGATCTATTGCTACTTACCTAAGGTATCTCTAGATCCGGGTGTAAGACCTTTGCAAGAAATTAAACCCAAGCAACCCTCAATTTTAAAGCAAACAAACCAGACAAGTAAAAGCAAGTAAAAGTGATCTAAGAATCTAAGGTAACCCCTCTTTTTTAAGTAATCCCCAACAGAGTCTCCAGTTCTGTAATACGGTGGGAGAACTGACTTATTTTGCATTTTATCGCAAATGTTGCGGATAGCAAGAGTCGCCACCGACTTTTTTTATCCAATAAGGAAAGGGTGAAAAGAACATGAAAGACCTTGATATATTTTGAGTTCGGGGGATAGGTTATGAAAAGGGAAGGTGTTAGCACCATTTTCATCTGTAGTTATCTACGGACTCTTAATCGCTTAGCTCACTCTGAAAATTTTGCTTTTTTATCTAACTGTTTGAAAATATTTTGAAAAAAATGCCATAGTGAGGCGAACTTTGTAATGATTCTTGTATCAGTCCTCAAGAATGCGTACAAAGTGTTTGTTTGAAAATATTTCGTTTTGAAAGGTGTGATGTGAAAATGTTTTGTTTTGAAAAGTTTGTGAGCGAACGATTAACAGTATTATACCCCCTCAAGGTTGTTCTTGTCATTTTCATTCTCCTTTAGAGGTAGTTCTATTCGTACCATTAATTGGTAGGAAGCCCTATCTTTTGGATGTGAAGGGACAGGCGAAGGGTCATCGTTTGGTCATCGAAGGAAACATGTAAGGATGCTTTAGCAATATTATAAGGGACTTGATCATTTTTTCAAAAGGCAGTGTGGAAGAGTCATCGAGGGACTATGATCTTTTGTATCGAAGGGACTTTGCTAAAGCATCCCCACTTTCGAGGGACATGACCGTTATTCCGAAAGGCAACGAATAGAGGTTACCCTAAATGTGTGAGTGTACAAGTGTATTTGATTCAGTTATATTTATTTTGCAATTAGGTTTTCTATCGTTCATTTTTATCTTGCCATACAAACCTTAATTATTAATAATTGCATAAAATATAGTAGCAGAATGTAAATGCGAAAATGTAAACTTAGGCTATTACAGAGCTTTGAGACAGTTACATAATAGTGAAGTGTGAAAAATAAAAACCTACAACGATTACATACTAGGAGGAGTTACATAATAGAAAAATACGAAAAAAATAAAGCTACGCTATTACAATTGAACGCGTCCTATACACTTTATCTAGGAAAATAAAAATAAGATGAAAATAGAGAAAAAAAATATTTTGGTGATTTTTTATGAAAAAAATAAATTTATGATAATTAATTAAATAAATCTAAAAATCCTAATTAATTGTAATTAATAAAAAAAGGTTAATTTTAAAAAAAAAGTTAATTAAAAAACCTAAAACCTAATTGATTTTAATTAATAAAAAAGTTAATTTTGAAAAAAAAAAGGTTAATTAAAAAACCTAAAATCTAATTAATTTTAATTAATAAAAAAGGTTAATTTTGAAAAAAAAGTTAATTAAAAAACCTAAAATCTAATTAATTTTAATTAATAAAAAAAGGGTTTTAAAAAAGGTTTATGTTAAATGATTAATAAAAATGAATTAAGTTTGCCAAAAAATAGATAGGGAAAGAAGCATCAATGTAAAATAGGGTTAGAAAACAAAAATATTGCAAATGCAATGGGTGGGTGTTGAATCCATGCCCTTTGCCTTCACAACAGCATGACTTGCTAAAAAATAGATAGGTGAATAAGTACCAATGGAAAATAGGGTTTATCATGCATAGTTATACCTCAGAAGCATGTTAGTAATGTTAGTATGCATCAAAATAACATGAAAATAAAAATACGAATCACAAAAAAAAAACAAGGAAACTAGAGATGAATGTATGCAATTTTCAGGCCCTTTGGATCATCAAGATTGATCCATTTTTACCCTACAATGCCTCAGGGATTGATTTGGATGATTGACTTGCTTGGAGAGAGGATGAAAATAGGGTTTGAAGTTTGCCCTAATTTTGGATAATTTTGGAGTTTTTTAGAATAGTGATCTCTTGCCAAGCTTTTCGTGTCTTTGTTGTTTTCTGAATATGGGATATATATATATAGAGGAAAGTTAGGTCAAAAGAAGTGGGCTTGGAGCTTTGTATGAAAGCCTTGATTTTATTTAATTTATTTTGAATTTAAATAAATAAAATAAAAAATAAATGGAATAAAAATCAAAGGAGTGTATGAATAGGTTCATAGGTTCAGTGATGAGGTCTAATACATGTTTGGACCTTGAAACACAAGCCCATTAGCCCAAAAATCCGAATTTGATCAATTTAGGTTTCATGCATTTTCTCAAAATTTCCCAACTTGTACCAATCATAACTCTGTCAATTTTTATCATATGAAGGTGATCTTGGACTTTTTGAAAGCTCAAGATGTCCTCTACAATATCTATGTTTATCATTTTTTTATTTGAAGACTTTATCTTGATGTAAGTTGTCTTGACAAAAATTGTCTTTTTGTTGACTTTTGAAATGACTTATAATGTTTTGGACCATATCTCTCAAATACAGTATTTTTTGGACTTGAGCTTAGAGATTCAAAGTTGTAGAGAATTGAATTTCCTTCAAAATAAGCTTTGATTGAGAAAAATATGATGAAGCATGTGGAAGTTATGCTTGGTCAAAATTCAGTTGAATTCTCCTTAAAAAAGCCTTAATTTGATAACTTTTGACTTTTGATGAATTAAGAGTTTTCTTGGTGAATCATGGTCAACCCTTGATCAAATGATGAATGTGACTTCAAAATCTTGAAATTTGACTGTATGTTGACCACCGTTGACTTTTTATCCAATACGGTTGATTTTTAGTCATTTGAGCAATTGACTGAGCAAATTTGTGATGCAAGACTTAAAATTTGGCACGAGCATTTTTTGAGACATATGAGGAACCATGAAATCCACTTGAGACATTATAAACTTAAATTTTTTTGAAAAAATGAAACCTTAGTTATAGATCAACTGCTTAAGAGGAGAATTTATCTAATCAAATATTGAGTAGTTTTGAGGAATTGAAAATCCTAAAAATATGAGAAGGTGTCTTGAAAAAAATAAATTTTAAAGTACAATAAAACCCCTATTTAAATTGAATGTAGTCTTCAAGCCATTTAAGCTGTCTTTTAATTCTTTTAAGCTTTTGTGGACACATCTTAACCTTTACGATTATGATACTATTTATAATCATTATTCAAGTTATTGTTCACGGTATTGTTTATATCACTATTCAGTGTATTAGTAAAAAGTGAATAAAGAGTAGGTGTAAGAAATGACTAGGAATAACATTGATGTTTATTTTAATTGTATTTTAGTATGGCGGGTGACATAAATTAAGTAAGCACCTACCCAATTGCAATATCATAATACTGTTCCACTTCAGTTTTGTCGGCATTTCAAATAAACTATACTAGTAATTCATAGTAAATGAAGCCGCCATTGATTTATTGACTACATTCAATTTTGGTGAGCCAATATTACTTGAATGATTGAGATGGAAGATCATGCCAAATTAAGAAACATTAAATTAAACACTTCACTTCCAAATAACAAACAATATCAAGTTCAACAAATTACACACATACTAGTAGCAGTTTTCGCCAACAACAAAACAACACTAACAAAGTTAAGAATGGCGAAAAGCTGTTTCGACCAGAAAACGATGACGTATTCCTCACCAAGACAACCTATCCACCTTCCCGCCGATCCCAATCTCTCCCTAACCGCCTTCCTCTTCCAGTCCACCTCCTCTATCGGCGACAACATCGCCCTCGCAGACGCTCACACCGGTGACTCCCTAACCTTCCGCCAACTTAAAGCCCAAGTCACCGCCCTCTCCCGCTCCTTACTCCGCCTCGGCATCCAACGAGGCGACGTCGTTTTGCTATTCGCTCCTAACTCCATACGCTTTCCTGTCTGCTTCCTAGCTATAGCATCCATAGGTGCTATTGCCACCACCTGTAGTCCTTTATATACCGTCTCTGAACTCACCAAGCAAATCCAAGACTCCAAACCCAAAGTCATCGCTACCGTATATGAGCTTCTACACAAAATCGAACCATTACCTTTGGATATACCTTCAATATTGCTTGACGATGCTTCAACCAAAGTATTTTCCTCAAAAATATTCAGTTCTTTGGTTTGGGACTACAAGGATCTTACCAAAGAGTCAAACAAGAGCTCCAACGAGATTCCAGCAAACGGTGTTGTTTCGCAATCCGACGTGGCGGTGATCCTATACTCTTCAGGAACCACCGGAAGAAGTAAGGGAGTGATGCTAACTCATCGAAACTTCATAGCGGCGGCGTTGGCTGGAGTGGCGGATCAGGAACACTACGGAGAGGGAAAGAACGTGTTCTTATGTTTGGCGCCAATGCATCATGTGTTGGGATTAGGAATGATAACGTACACGCAGCTGCGGAGAGGGGATATGGTTGTATCGATGGCTAGATTTGAACTGGACAAGACTTTGGCAGCTATCCAGAAGTTTAGGGTGACACACTTGTACGTTGCTCCCCCAGTGATGATGGAGCTGATCAAGCGGCGTGAAGTTGTGAACAGTTATGACTTGTCGTCGCTGAAACAACTTGCCGGCGGTGCTGCTCCTTTGGGGAAAGATGTGATGCAAGAGTGTGCTAAGATTCTACCCCGAGTTGAAATCATTCAGGTATAGTTAAGAAAAATATACGACTTGGTATTCACTAATTTTCTATTTGATTGTGAACTTATGTGTGTTAATTGTGGCAGGGGTATGGCATGACGGAAGCATGTGGACTTATTTCATATGAAAATCCGAACGAAGAATGGTTCGTTTCTGGTTTAGGATCAACTGGAACACTAGTTCCAAGTGTAGAATCCCGAATTGTTAGTTTGGAAACATTTAAGCCTCTTCCACCCAACCAATTAGGGGAAATTTGGTTTAGAGGACCTATTATGATGAAAGGTAAGATTGATCTATTAGTTATCCAGTTTGCATTAAAATTAATTTGATTCTGATATTATAGTCTTATATTGCATTTTTTTTTTTCAGGATACTTTAACAATCCAGAAGCAACAAAACAGACCATTAATGATGAGGGTTGGTTGATTACAGGAGATCTTGGATATTTTGATGAAAAGGGGCAGCTATTTGTTGTCGATCGAATAAAAGAGCTTATTAAATGTAGCGGATATCAAGTATGGTTTTGTTTTATCAGATAACTAGAGGATTTGAATCATAAAAGTACCTTCAAATTAATAGCATATAATATGATAAAATAAGAATGTGTGTTCAGCTCATCAACAATTTAGTTTATTACTGCATGAAACGTTATTGATTCAACATATTAGCAAATTTAGCATATTCTGATGCTCATTTCCATTATGTAGGTGGCGCCCGCTGAGCTTGAAGACTTACTGGTTTCTCATCCTGAAATTTCTGATGCTGGGGTGATTCCGTAAGTCATATCTTTATGTAGATTCTATACTCTCATTATTTTCTTTTTATGAGCATTCACATTTATTGGTGTCAATTCCAAATCAGATCACCTGATGCCAAAGCTGGTGAGGTTCCAGTGGCTTTTGTAGTTCGTTCGCCCAATAGCTCAATAACCAAAGAGGACATTCTGAAGTTTGTAGCAGAACAGGTAAATTAGGAATATTCATTCGGATAATCATTACTATGAGTAATACTTTCTCAAATGCAGAAGTAGATTATAAATTCTGAATTTGTATCCTCTCCAACACTTTCTCTCATGTTTCCATTCAGCTCTAATATCAACCATACATTTGTCTCTTTTGTTGTCTCTTTCATACTTTTATTTTACCTTTGTGCATTAGTTAACCATTAGATTAGAAAAGTAGAGAGGGCAGCACAAAAAAAGCAGGAGAGGAACCATATCCATAAATTCTGTTGTCTTCTTTCTGTCATAAACCAATATGTGAAGGAGGAAAATGCAGGAGTTTAAAGGTTGTTTGTTCTCTGAATTGATTCATTTCCTATGTCCAGGTTGCACCATACAAAAGATTGCGGCGAGTAACTTTTATAGAGAGAATTCCTAAGTCACCCACCGGAAAGATCTTAAGAAAGGATCTTGTCATTTTGGATAGACAAAAGATATCGAAGTTATAGGATATTAATGCCTCGGAAGACTCTGATCTGCCACATATTATGGAGATAAAGAAACATGTGCGAAGGTTCTGGTCTCTGCATAACATGTAACACGAGTAATTGAGATATGTTTTCACGAAGGAGTACTATGTTTTCTGGTTGTAGAAAAATAAAAGAGTTATGCAAGGTGATGCCAAGTTCTTGATACTTATTGAACGGTGATGCTAAACTAGTTTACACCGTACATATCATTTTTCTCTTAATATGTCCGTATACTAATTTGAGAATAAATAATACTTCTGGTAGTTCGGTTAAGTCATTATAATTGATAGTTTTTCAAGAACATACTATTACAAAGGTATGAGTTCAAATCAGGAAAGAAAAAAAAATGGATGTAATTATTTATTGGTATTTTTAGTAAACAATCAAGAGTTTAATTTATTTAAAAGATTAATTCAAAAAATCTCGAAGACAATTTGTGAAAGAAAAGATATAGTGAAAAATGTGTGTTTTAGATTTAGAACGTTTGAATATAATCAACATGATGCAAACAATAAACTCCGAACAAAGATGATAGATAACAAACAAAGGGAACGGAGTAACTTACACTTAAAGCAGATGCTTTGAATCCAATAGGTTTGCAAAAAGTTTAAAGAATGGACGCGGACTCATATTTCTCACAAACTGTTCCGCTCTATGACTTTGGTACTTTAATTGTATACATAATCAATGAAAATTTTACGACCTCTGTTACAATGCATAAGCATGTGTTATATACTACTACAAAGATAATCGTCAACAACGGTTTAATCCTATGGATCTGACATATATCCCACTACTTAGGCTTTCATGCTTTAACTTGTTTCCACACGTCTTCAAAGATGAAACTGCTGAAAAATCAAATATCATGCTGATAACTACTTTGAACTTCTCAACTGCCTTTGTTTAGAGTCTTTGAAAAAACCCTATAGTGTTGAGACATCTCCACATCACAAAGTCTTTGGACTCAAGAATATCCTAAGTCTATTATATCCGGCAAACACACCAACTTCAACACTGTGTCGAAGATTTTCCTTATGTAATCCTTTTTGAAATTTTCGACTTGTTTTAAAGAGAGAGTGATCATAATCTTGTGGATTTGTTCTTGATATTCTTCTAAACCATGTTTACCACACTAGTCGAACTACTTAGTCCACATGGTTAATATGTTGATGCATTTCGTTGATATTTCTTGACATTTATCATTTTTCAACATAGCTATTATCATTCTTTATTGACTTTTCTCCAGCTAGAATTTCCAGGCTAACAGATGCCCCCAAATATGCCACTTCTGATGATATGTATGATATGAAAGAAGAGTGGTATTTTTTATATTTGTTCGATACTATTTAGAATAAAATGTATATGTCACATTAGTTAGATGTTTTTTAGTCATCATGATTACTTTCCACCAAACTGTCACGTCACAAACCTGCGTGTAGTTGATCATCATTGCTCCGATTTCAGGACAATCATATCCACACAATTAAAATTTAATTTTACCGGTTGATCAGAACCTGCAAGGTGGTGTTGGAGCGTTATAGCGGCAAGCAACAAAAGTTTTGGAAATATTTATCCGGGAATTTATCGTGTCCACAGAGATTGATTATTGAATTGTCGTTCGACAAATCTCTCATTAATGAGTTTGGGGGTAAATGGTTTTGTAAAGAAAATGTTATCAACAGAATATAAATGTAAATAAAAGTAAAAACTAAGGAAGAACTTATCAAGCCTGAATATAATCTACTCATCACAGACTTAAATGTATCGACCAGTTACATTCAACCTAACAATACTCATCAATGTCACTATGTATCACTCACAACCTAAAAATTTATAGCCCAAATTAAGAGACCGACTGTATCACCAAGGAAATGATCTCTCTACCTCCTCAACAACACAGAAGAAAACTTTGTAATTACACTGACGATCTCTAAGCATAGCAGAACCACACAGATGCATTAAGCTCTGATACCCAAATAGATGTCAGCTCTAAATCTATCTCTAGAGTTCAGAAACTAACATATAATCATTCTAGATAAGAATCTAAGCAGTATATGTCTATAACAACTCAAATCCCTAGCACAGAGCAAAACTTCAAGATAACAATCAACAAAGATTTATAAATCAAGTTTAATATAAAGTCACGGGCGACAAATATACATAAGTTTAAAGTAAATACATGTACAAACTCAACACATAAAGAATACACAAAGAGGAAGAGAAATGAACCACAAATCTTCCTGTTTGTCAGTGCCGATTGATGAGAAATCCACTCCGAATCATCCGTATGCAAGCTTCAATATTGTTTTTTAAGCTAATCCTATCCAAAAATGAAGGTTGATGGAGTTGGGATCAAAAATACCCAAAATCATCCCCCAAAACTGTGTTTTTACACCTAAATATGCATTTCTAATTGTCAAGCATCGCCCGACGATCAAAAAGCATCGTCCGACGACCAAAACAATGTTTTTCCCATGCTACAGCTCGCCTAGCGTCGCCCGATGACCAAAAAGCGTCGCCCGACGACGGATGACAGAAATTTGAAAAAACTAGCACAACATTTTGCACTATTTCGGCCATAATTTTTGAACTGTAACTCCAATTCACGCCCGGTTCGAAGCGTTGGAAAGCTTATTCAACACTCTTTCTAACAATACCTAAATATCAAAGCTTGAATAACTAAAAAAATGAGATAAAATCAATTAAACTCAATTATATTTACATAATAACGCAATAAATATACTATAACATAAATTATACTGAATATACACTAAAGTTGAGGTTTATTGACAAAAAGCAAACAAATTAAGCCGATGAGTGCTAATTATTCATACTCAAATTCACAACAATTTAGCACTCATCAAGCGGCCGGATGATGATCTTCAGATGGGCTGAAAAGTCGAAGAGGAAAAAGGGGGATTGTACCTACAAGGCACTCTGACGATCAAGTAAGTGCAGGAGCAAAAGAGATGCAAGAAAAGTGTTAGGGTTTTAGTGATGAATAACAGATATTCGATACCTGGCCCTCACATGAGTGAGGATTTATATAGTGCCCCTGGTGCTTGGTAATTGGTCCATATTTTTGGGCCTAGATATACGGGTCCGCAAAAATAGGTAACTACCAGAACTTAGTCAAAATGGGCGGGTATGCTCATAACTAATCATTGGTTCCAAGGCGGCGGATTACAGGAATATGGTCGTTTTGGACGTTTCCTGGTTGTCTGCTCGACTCGTGTCGGGATGACGGGAGATAACTACTGACTGAGTCAGGCGCAACTATCGGGCATATCTGGTCCTCTGCTCAGAGCGTAGTCGATCAGAATGTTGATCCACTGTTGTTGGGTCGTGCTAAGGCTAAAAGCGGATTGGGATAATTTTAGTCATTGGGCCAGTCCAGAACAGAAGCCCCCTAAGTCGTTGCTTCTGGGCACATGAGTGATGACTTCGAGCCAGTCCGTGAAACGGGGATGCTTCTGTGTCGGTATTGCTCGAGGGGTGCAAGTGATGTTTGCCTCGCGGAGAGAGGAACATTTGAGCGACTCGCTTCGAGGAGTAATTTTTTGCGAGAAGTTCGAGGATTCTCCCGGTGTTTGGTTGAAGAGGAGACGGATCTGGAGAGGTTGCATGCATCAAGCCGCGTGCTGTCAGATAGGCATGATGATGGCTGGTCTAGGGGCTAAGGTGTGATGATGACGCCCTTTAGAGTTCCCCAGGCACTTGCTTGCCCACGCGCTGGTGGGATCTATCTATAAATATATGGGAGAGAGCTCCTTTAATATTTTTCGTCATGCTCTCATCTGCTCGACATTTTCATTCTTTCCCGACTTCATCAGTTCCTGCCCGACTTCATCTGCTCCTAAGATTTTCGCTTGTTCCGGTGTTCGCCGCCGTATATTTTTGTCGACTCTCCACTTAATCTAGTAAGTTCTCTTGGTCCTCTTTGTTTTAGCATCTGTCACTTTTATTAGATTTTAAGGTTTCTGGAAAATGCATGTGGTTATGGTTTAAGGCGACTGGTTTCTTAGGGATTCTGGTGGAATGCTGGTTGGAGACGGTGGTTTTGGCGGATGAGTGCGTTGAGGATACCAAGTGTCCTCCGCGGGGGAGTCTTTGGGATCTCAGTGTCGTTAGAAAAATGTAGGAAAATTTTCGTGTGGATCCGGTGGGTTTAGTTGGGTAAGGGAGATTGTTTAGTAGCCATTTGAGTGGGGCTCTGGTCGGGGACAAGGTCCTCGTTCCTTGAAGCTCTTTCACTTGATTAGTGGTGGAAGGATGGATTTGACGTTGACGTCAAACTCACTTTCATTCTCTACTTTTCAGGTACGGTGACTACTGGCGATGTTGAGTTTCTTAACGAGACCAACAGTTCCGCTCAGAGTTCTGCGGAGAGAACGTCCGACGAGGCGAGCACCTCAGGGGCGTATGAACCTCGCCGGCAACACTGGAGCCAGATGTTCCCGGTAACAGGGATGCTGAGGGAGGCATGAAGGCGGCTGCTGTTGATCAAGAGGGTCCAAGCGTGCCTGTGGACGAGGAGGGTCCACTAGATCGGGTTAAATCAGGCATGTTGAGGTATATCTCCTACTTTATTGAGCATCCTGATGAGATATTCACCCCGTTAGATCTGAAGATGGACCCAGAGGGCGCTGAAGAGCAATGGGCAATCTACATTCCAAACAAGAGGAGCTGGATATGCTTGCGGTTTGAAGCTCGTCGGTTCCCTATGTACGAGATTGTGTTCAGAAAGATGGGTTTGTGGCTCCCTTTCTCAGACTTTTAAGTGGCGGTCTTCAGGCACCTTCATTTGACTCCGTCCCAGCAGCATCCGAACTCGATGGCTTTCCTTTAGGCCTTCGAGATCGTGTGTAATTATTTGGGCGTCGGGGCCATCGTTTCTTTGTTCTTTTACTGTTTTCACCTTTAGAGGCATTCGTTTGGTGCCCAATATGGTTGGGTCGCTTTGAAGCAGGCGAATGGCA